CTATTATAAGCAATACTTTAATTTTATTTCCTTCCAGAATTCTTAAATTCGCTACCAAAATCTCTCCATCTGCATTATGGAACCCACGCCTTTCATTGTTTACTTCGCTTTGATTGAAAGTGGTACTTTAAAACCTGATTCATGGACGATTGACGTTTCGAGACTGATCGTCAGTTTAGTGACGCTTAAATGAGTGGAAATTTTGGCCTTGTCAGTAAAGCCAGCTGAGCCGTGCATGCCAAATACGCATCCTCGTCTGGGGCCGAACGTGGGTTAGAGCTAGCTGCCATAGTAGACTTGAAGAACAAAGTGTGCAGGTTCAGAACCTACTTCTTTACAACTTTACCAAGAACGACTAACTGGATTCTTTCTATATGATATATATACCCATTGCGAGCAAAATTTAAGATATAAATGGATATAGAAAGGTTCGCTTAATTAACATATAATCTAGTGTATATGTGTGTGTATGTTTTAACATCTGTACGCAAAAACAGTAATTATAAAAAAACTTAACATCAGCCCTGGGTCATCAAAGCTTGATTACCCCCAAAAAAAAGAAAAAAGAAAGAAAGTATGACCGAGATTGCGTTGGCCCGTAACTAATCCTGGTTAGATTGATGAGATGTTGGAGTGTACATGTGAAAGTCGGATTACAAAACCACCAGTCCGAACCCGTTAGTCTGGGTTACGAAGGGTTAATGACCCAAGGAGAAGCCTGGCGGGGATTGCGCAACCCCACACGTCTGTATTGGTGGATGAGCTTGACATGTCTATTGATTGAGTGTTAAGTTGGTTAGAAGCATCACTCAGTTGACAAATCGAGTCATCTTCTTTTGACTGCGGCTCAATAGCCTCTATCTCTTTCAATCTTTCAATTAAGCATAACTAATTCTTACTCAACCTTCTTCCACCATTCCTCACATTGAAGGATGTCTCGGGGACTGCATAAGCCTGAATGACATATTTATGCCAAATAGCTGCAGTACAACGCGAATTAGCTGACGTCTTCTGGAGATATTGACCTACGATGGTCTTTATGATGCACTTCCATTCGAAGTGATAGTCTTTACATCATTCGTCTCAGAGATTCTTCTAAACCCGCATTTTCTTCGTATATACATCGTACTATATCTTGGCAAGTCAATAGAATTAAATTAGTAAAAATGTGTATTTTTTACAATGTAGTTATTAAATGTTGTTTTCTTAGTAGGCGTAATGATTTACCTATTTCTACAAAAAAGGAACTGGATTTGGTATTGAGTGGTTTGGTAAAAACAAGGCTTAAGGGAAGCGATCTGATTATAACCAAGCCCTGATTAAGACAAACGTCTTCACAGACTCTAAATGAGAAAGACTTTTTTAAGGTACAAGACATGGCTGAAAGCTTGGGTTAAATAATCTATAGATGACTATGAGAGTTAATGAAAAGAAGCTAAAAAAGTTGGACACTAGGATCCGTTCATGGGACCAAGTATCTGAGGCAAAGATTAATAAGGATTGGTACAACAAATTTGGCAGATATAAGATGACTAATGTATCCAGTATAGAGCTGGAGGATGATGAGAAACTTCTACTAGAAAGGGGATCAAATTTTGCACTACTTAATGAAAATACTGGTGGAGCTAATCAGCTTATCGGAGAGATCAGCTGAACAAGTCGAGAATAGCATAGATTTGGAGGTGATTCCTCATTTTTACCAGGCAGTTACGCCAAAGAAGTCCTTTTGGAGTACCTTTCATTTCGTTTGAAGACGCGAGTGGAAGGGATTCGTAAGTTGGTTCCACCGGAGGCTGTGGGAGCGGGGTGTTGCCTTGGAGCTGTGGTTGTAGATTTGCACGATTAGGTCCTCGGCACACCACTCTGCGACCTCGATGAATCGTTGTTGAGCTTTCGTCCGTCATGTGACGGACATCGTCAGAGCAGGACACCATGACTAACGATAATTCACCAAAAATGTAGAGGCAAGAAAGGTGGCCGGCTTAGAATCTACTTTCTTCTTTTATTCCAAGTTGGTCCACTTTTGCATCTCATGCTTTGGTCGGATGTCGTATGCTTTGCCTCTGGTGGAACTCATAAGTTTTACCGACCATCTTCCCGAAGGGACTAGGAGTGATATTGAATTACTGGTCGTTCCTTTAAATACAGCCATGCAGAAATAACACTCATGTACAAGATAATGCAAAATCTCATGAGGAAACTGGACGATCAGGGCCGAACGGTGTTGAGGGCAGACAAAGGAGGAGCAGTGATAGTTATGGATAGGTTGAGTTATGTAGAAATAATGATGTAGGCTACCAGATACAAGATAATCAGTATGGACCCTACGGAAACCC